TCACACCTGTTTAAAAGGTCACACCTGTTTGAAGGTCACACCTGTTTAAAAGGTCACACCTGTTTGAAGGTCACACCTGTTTGAAGCTCACACCTGTTTAAAAGGTCACACCTGTTTGAAGCTCACACCTGTTTGAAGCTCACCTGTTTAAAAGGTCACACCTGTTTGAAGCTCACACCTGTTTGAAGGTCACACCTGTTTAAAAGTAGTGGGTGAGTGAAGGTCATCTGGGTAGGCGGGGCACTCCTTGTATAATGTTGGGGCTGCTGGAACCTTCACCCCTGGTCATGAGGTTTGGATCATGACCTGAAGACCCAGATCCTGGATCCAAGCAGCTGAAATGGTCTTCCTTCGTATTGTGTGTGTCGGGGGGGAGATCCAGGAGCAGACCCAGAACTCTCTGAAGAGATCCCCTCTGGTCTGGGAACACCTCGGGGTCCCCCAGGAGGAGCTGGAGAGTCTCTGAGGAGGGGGGGAGGTTTCCCTCCTGGACCTGCTGCCTCCGTGTTCTCGGCGTGGATGGACGATGGAGATGAACGATCAGTCGACTGAAGTTTCAAGATGATTCTGAGAAAAGTCTAAAATAAATCAGGTTCTTTGGTGTTAAAAAGCTTCTGAACCGTTTCTGTTCACGTGTTTCAGACTCGGCTGCAGTTCAAGTCGTCCTCCAAAGACTCGTCTGACCCAGGTGAGCAGAACCGAACCCGGCGCTCCGTGACGAGTCCCACGAGTTAATCGAGCTCTTCTTTCTGCTGTGAGACGAAGCGAAGCAGCCGAACTCTTGGTTCTGACGACGGTTCAGTTTTAAAGTTCATCAGTTTGACCCTCGTGCTGTTCAGAGTTTGTTGTCGGAACGTTCGGTTGTTTTCAGGATCTGTGCGACCGCTCGGACAGAAAATAAACGTTTAAAAGAAAAAACATTTCAAAGTCAATAAAAAGAAACATGGAAACTTTTCTCTGAGCTTCATAAATGAATCGATACCGAGACGTTTGAGTCGAACAGACGATCGTCGCCTCGTGTTTTTAAATCGTTCGTCGTTCGTTCCGCCGGCTGTGAGATGGGCTCAGCTGTTCCTGTTTGACTCGACTCGTCGCTCGCGTGCGGACGCTCCGTGGACTTTGATGCTAACGGTGACGCCCAGAGACCTCGAAGAGTCGCCGCTCTCTCCGAGAAATCGAAGGAACACGTGAAAAGGGTTCAAATGGACGTTTAAAATGTGTAAACGAGTGGCGGTCGAGGGCCGCCATCTTGTTTGAGTCGTTCAGATCAGGAGCGTTGAAGCAGAGGAACATTAAAACCTGCAGGACGGTGGTCCAGAGGACTCGGGCCGGACTCCACATCATCACATGCAGCCAACAAGAGTCCTGCTTGTTTTAGAAGAGACTAGTTTGTGTCCAGATGGGACTGAAAGCCGAGGCCACGAAGGACCGGCGCCCCCTTGTGGCTGCGGGACACTTTTTAAGCCCCGCCCCTCCACGAATGGAGCGTTTCATAATTATTTTTTTTTTCCAGGTGTTGATTTTGGTTGGTTTGTGTAGTTCCCACTTTGATGCATTTTGGTGAACGTGAAGTTTGAGTTTTTAAGGTTTTAAAATAAAAAATGTCTCTTACTCTGATTGACGGCCCGTCACTTGGGACGGTTGTCGAGGGTTCAGCTCTGCGTCTCTACAAACTCCTCTTTCAAAATTACACGAGCTTATTTAACTTCAGAGAGGCTGCCTCTACCTTTATCCCGTTAAAAGTTCAATCTCTGCGTCCTAAGTTTGTTCAAAACCACAGAAGCAGTTTCTCGTTGATGTTTTAAAGATCCCAGTTGGTTTAGGGTGCCTTTTAGTCGCGAGTCCTTAAAGAACAGCTGGACTGATGTGAGCCAGCGTCACTAAACGTTTCGCCTGACGAGGTGAAGCTCGTCACGTCCTGTTTGACGGAGCAGAGGTCCGACCCCGGAGGTGAGCCGCCTGATTGCCTCAGATTTCAGTAAATATTGTCCCAGTGACCTGAGACACCCCAACCACTATAAACCCTGCAGGTCCAGTGTGTGTTTACCTGTGTGTGTCTACCTGTGTGTGTGTCTACCTGTGTGTGTGTTTACCTGTGTGTGTTTACCTGTGTGTGTCTACCTGTGTGTGTTTACCTGTGTGTGTCTACCTGTGTGTGTCTACCTGTGTGTGTTTACCTGTGTGTGTTTGCCTGTGTGTCTGCCTGTGTGTGTCTACCTGTGTGTGTCTACCTGTGTGTGTCTACCTGTGTGTGTCTACCTGTGTGTGTTTGCCTGTGTGTGTCTACCTGTGTCTGCCTGTGTGTGTTTGTGTGTCAGTGTGACGCAGGTGAGCAGTGTGCGCTCCGTAAAGGCTCGAGGGTCGGGAAGCTGTGTGGATGTCCCAGAGCAACCGTCTGTAACTTCAGCCTCCTCCGATGTGTGTAGAGCTCAAAGTTCTGCAGGTCCAATATAAAATACTTTAAAAATACATAAAGTTTAAACTTTAAGAAAAGTTTGTGTTGGTTCTTGTGTAGAGAGCAACAATCAAACTGTTTTAATCTGCTAAACAAGAGAAACGAGGTTAAAGTAAAATGTTACTCTAGATTTTTAGCAGCTTGGATGATTTTTTTTTTTACAAAGACCAAGAACAGGACTGATGTGCGTGTGCGTGCGTGCGTGCGTGTGTGCGTGTGCACAGACTGAGTACAGTAGTCCCTCGATCGTCGCAGGGTTACGTTCCAGACGCCCCCGCAAAAGGTCAAAAACCACCAAGTAGGAACACTATATTTATTTTATTTATATATTTTAAGGCTTTATAAACCGTTCCCACACTCTTGCAATGTTCTAAACTCTTAAACTTACGTCACTTTAACAGCATACTTATTTGTACTGTACAGTACTGCAAAGTTTTATGAGTACTCACCAGTGAAGATACTACTACAACTTGAAGGAAGAGTTCAGCTTCAGGATCATTTGTGACTTTGCTGCCAGTTCTGAGATAAATACGAAGATCGTTACTTCTGACTTTGTGTTGAAAACTATTTTTACCTCCTCGGTTTCTTCTCCGCCAGTCTTCGCTCCCTCCATCGCTGTTCTTTGAATTTCAGCAGAAAACAGCGGCCGGCAGCACTGTTGGCTTCTGGGCCGTGTAGTTCTTTTGACTGGCGTTGTAGTCTTATTGAAAGAAAACTACAAAATGGAGGCGCCCTAACAAAGTTTTTATTTCTTTAACTTTTTATCCCGTACGTCCCTATCACATGAGTAATATTAAAGTTGACAGTCGTGTGTCGTGTACAATCTTGCGTTGAAAACCTGCGAAACAGTGAGTCGGCGAATTTCAAACGAAGTATCGATGGACTGGATCTAAACCGACTGAACAGGAGCTCTCGCTGCGACAGAGGGTCAAGAACAGAACAAAGAAAAACCTCAGGAACTGCTCAGGTTTATTATTTAAATGAATACACCCCCCTGAGCCCCCCCCCCCCCCACACACACACACACACACCAAAAGCCCTTTAAACCAGCAGCAGATAGAAATCAGTAAAAGTTTTGTCGAGTCGCCCGCGCTGAAAAAAAAAAAAGGCCCAAGCTGCAATTGTCGTTAAAAACACGTCGGAAGATTAAATCCATTCACGCACACGTCGAGTCCGAGTAAAGATGAAATCCAGATGTGGAACAGCTGGGTCCACCTGAAGGCAACAGAAGTTGCAGCGAAGCTCAAAAAGTCAGACGGTCATTAAACGCCTCAGCTGTGAAGTTAAAAGCGAAGTCTGTTTCCAAGCGTTCGTCTCCCGTTCGTTCCGCAGACAGGAAGCGTTTACAGCGTCTTCCTGTTGGTCCAGGCTCCGCCCCCTCTCCTGGACCTCAGCGCTCGCCGTCGGTTTGACCGACCGTCACCGAGCTCCTGAACACAACACAAACACGTTCAGGGTCATCAGGTCCACGCCACAGAAAATCACTCAGAACTGGTCAAAATACAGTGAAGCAGAAATATCACAACACATGACGGACAGTCGGGTGCAAAAGTTTTAAACCACCCCTCCATTCGTTATAGTTTCTCTCCATATGTTTTTTAAAATTATTATGTTTTAACTTTGGCTCCTCAGTTTCTGGCCTTGTTCCTGAACATATTGGTTTAAAACATAAATTACAGGTGTAAGACGCCACACGACGTCTGAAAGTCCATCATCCTTCAGCTGATTCCCTTTGGAGCTAAAATCCTGTTTTCTGCCAAACTTTTTCTTTGAGTAGTTTTCATCGATTTAATTAAACAAATGGAAACAAATGATGTTTTTGTGACAGGGTGCAGGTAACAAAGAGCCTAAAACAAGAACATGTATTGGATTATGAATCAGTAGCGTTATTGGTAACCTTAAAAATATAAATCATAAATCCATAATATTTATTCATGGTTTAAAGTTGTTCCACAAAAAAACAGAGAAATGCACCACATCTCACAGTTAACGTGGTTTTTATGGCAGTAATGACTTCAAGTTAAACAAAAAGCTTCATTCCTTTGAGGCTTTTTGACGGTTTAACAAAATGTTTGGCTGCGAGGACTGAAACTGAAAGCAAACCAGCTAAAGTCCAAAAATAATCTTAAAAGCAGAAAGTCTGGAGAATCGATATGTGCCGGTGCAGCGGTTTCAAGTTTATCATCAATTAAACTGTAAAGTATGTGCTATTTTAAATACGTAATTTATGGTAAAATGTAATAAAGCAGTTTGGTCAAATGTAATCTCAGATGGATCGGCTGGCTTTAGCTGCAAATAGCTGAAACTTATTTTTACTTTATTTTAAATTACAGTATTCTTTTTGTGCATGTTCACTTGTTTCCTGTATGAATGTTGGCTCTGAATAAGGACCGTATTGATTGTCAGTATTTTCCATCAGTTGTAAGACAAACCAACGACCAGCAGGTGGAGGGCCGACTCTTCCACGCCTGCTGTCAGTTAAACATCTGGATCTGGTCTGATTACTGTTCGTGCAGCAGGAACATGAAACTAAACTCGTTTTTTCCTCTTCTGTCTGTTTTTGTGTTTGAAAAGTTTGAAAATTAAAACTTCGGTCGTGAAGCTTGAGAGCTCCGCAGCGGTGCGTTCAGTGGCAGTGGGATGTTTGACCGTTGTGACTGAGTGTCGTGCACGGGTGATTGTCGGAGGCGATCCCGGGGACTCACAGGTAATCAGGTGCAGAGATCCACAAATGAGCAGCGTCAGCGCAGGAATACCAGCGAGGGGCGCGGCGTTGCCCGGGGGGGAGGAGGAGCCCGCCTGCTGCTTCTGCTGAGGAGCTTCAGCTTCAGCATCTTTACACTTCTGACTGTAAGAACACAAACAGAATCAGTGACACCGCACAGAACCGGAGCCCTGTGGCTGAACTGGACTCACAGCTGTTTCTGCAGGTACTTCTGCTGGGACTCGCAGCCTTTGGTCTGACTCTGAGCCGCCAGCATCTGACTGTCAGCTGCTGCCTTCAGGCTCTGGCAGGTCTCGGTCTGATGGGAGGCCTGGGTCAGGTTCTGCTGCAGGGCCTCGGCTCGCTCTGAGGACACAGAAAACACTCAAAACCAAACCAGGAGGAGGAAAGTCCACGACATCAGGTCTGAGTTTGGTGTTCAGGTGTCCTAAAATAAATCTGATGACGTCAAATGGACCCGGCTCTGATGAAACCGACTGCAGGCTTATCGGCTTCGACTCTCGGACCGGGCTTTTTGTCACAACACTGACAGCTTTTCAAAAAGGAACTCAAAACTTATTGTAAAAACCATGTTTGGATGTTATAACTGTCAATATCTTACCTGTTGCAGGTAGCTTTGTGATCAAAGTTTGAAGAAAAATAGTTTAATTCTGATTGGGCTGACAAGCAAACGGCTAACGTTTCACTACTTCTAGCTTTTAGTTAGCCTTTTGCTACATATAGCTTTTAGTTAGCTTTTTATTATACTTGGCTTTTAGTTAGCTTTTTATTATATTTAGCTTTTAGTTAGCCTTTTG